GGTTGGAACTACTCAGAAAGTTGAATGGATAGCTGCTTGATTCCTGGCTGTGGTACAGTTTTCACAGTGGAATGGGCAGTCTGACTACTTGAAATCCAAAGCTAACAAAGGTAGTTGTTAGACTTGCTCCATGTACATCTTTGTTAGCCAAAAGGATAATCAAATCCTTTAAACATAAGAAGTTACAGTAGTAGTTGCTGTAAGGATTTTTATTATATGGCTAGTGATAGAATTGTAATTACAAATACATTTAGATGACTGAAAGGGAGCTTGCTAGTTTGGGGACAACTTTACTGGTCAGTGGCTGCCACACCATTTGAAACAGTGGACCACTATCAGCCATCAGAATTTTTCATGGACTACCATACACCCTTAGCATAAAATTTTCGATTGACAACACTATTAACGTGCAAGTGCCTCATGCATTCCACAGCCTATATACTCAGGGCCTTGCAGACCACAGTCTGGGAATCACAGCCCAGAGCAGCAGCAGCAGCAAGGAAGTAGCTCAGAGTTGCACAGCATATCTCCCCACTACTTAACCCAAGGGTGGGCAAAATATGGCCCGCAGGCTGGATCTGGCATGCAGAGAGATATTTTCCAGCTTGCAGTGGGTACCCTGGTCCTACCTGGCCCAGGTGCCATCCAGCCCATGGGCATCCCACCATCTCTGGGCATGCAGTGTGGCTGGGGCAGCTCTGTAGCTGGACTCCACTTCTAGACAGCCCAGATGGTAGTGGCTCCTTCCAGCTGCTGGGTGTAGGGAGAAAAGTGGCCATCTCCCCCTCCCCATGGCTGGGCCTTCTTGCTGTAGGTTAGACTTGTCTAGGATGGTATATACATAGATGATGCAACCTTATAATTCAAACAGCCCATCAAAGCTTCCATGAAATTCTGGCACCTTCTAGTTATTTTCCTCCTGGCCATGGCTATCCTGGCCATGCTTACCAAGCCAAGAAGGTGATGCTGACTGGAGGGACCTGGGTGATGATGAGGCTGTCTTCCTATCCCTTGTCCGTGCATGTCTCTGAGTAGAGTTTCACTGGCAATGTCTATTGGCTCTTTAGATGTCTTTGAGGGACAGTGGATGCTTACCAGAGTTCTCTGCTTGGCTTCCTTCCTTGGCACTCTAGACATTAACCTATAACATTCACTCCTGTTCCTGTTTTGTCATTTGTTGTCCCAAGAAATTGGTTGTTGTGACCTTAGTGGTCTCCATCTAGCCATTGCAGAGGGCTTGTGGTTCCTGGTGGAACAAGGCCCACTATCATGGCACAAGAAATACCTGCCTTGAGCAGGGGGTTGTATTAAAACAGTAGAGGGCAACCTTTTTGATAAGCATGCCACAAATTATCCCCCTCACTCTTCCGAAGTCCTACTTAAATCCCCTTCACCTCCCTAGTCTGCTGTTCCGCTTTCTTCTTCCTGTCCTGTACTTTCTGCTTAATCATCTGCTTTATCTGCTACTATGCTGTTTATCTCCTCCCCAAACTACTGTGTGCCACACAGAGGCTGCCTGTGCCACTTGTGGCACTCATGCTAGAGGTTGCCCACCTCTGAACTAGATGACCTGTGGTCCCTTCTAGCCCCATTTTTCTGGCTAGGGACAGACATTACACATAAACTGGTATAAATTGTCAGAAACCGGCTCAAATCTGTAACACAACGAGAATTAAGTGCACATAAACTGTTTTTAAAATGGCTGAAACCAGTTTAAGATAAACCTAGATGGATGTAGTATCAGACCAGGTGGATAAAAATAAATTGTTTTAAAAAATTTAAAAATTGAATTTTTAAAAAATTTAAATTAGATTTTTTTATTTGATTGTATTTTTTTAAATATTTTTGTTAAGATGCTTGAAAAAACTAAACCTATATAAAGATAGTTTTAATTTAAAATGTATTAAAGCTAGAAGATATCATCATGGAATAGGGATTATAACGTCTAATTATATACTATTTGAGACAATATATTCATGTAACCTTTTTGGAAAAGTTTTATAAATACGTCACAACAGGCCATGGACTATATTAGGGACCCAATCTTATGGGGCTCCCAGAGGCTCTTCTACAGATTAGTAAAGATTAAAGAAAACCACTCCACCTAATGGAACTCAGTGCTCAGTCTATATGATCTCATTAAATGTTTCTGTGATGCTTGGTTTCAGTTCTAAAACTGGATTTGTGTCGCTAGAGAGACTGTTAACAGCAGTATATGGAGATGAGGGATAACAGACTTGATTACCTGCCCATCAGCCTTGTTGTCTCTCTGCAACTTTGTGTACACAGAGTCAAGCCCTTACTTCTCTCTCAAAGTGCAAAGTTTCAAGAAGTTACATGAATAGAGGATTTTGGGGGTGGAGTAGATCTGGGCAAGGAGGAGGAGTCTGGAGATGCATGCAAGAAGGGAGGGGCAGTAGAAACAAAAGAGAAACATTTTAAGCAGAATATTCCAGAAGTCTGGAGGGGTAAGTTTCTGAGTATACCCTCTCCACTGATTTGAGATCTAGTGAGGGAATGTTATGGTGGAAGAGAAAAACTTATCATGGCAACAGGTTTGCCAGGCCATAGAAGAGAGAAGAAATCAAAGATGAGAAGAAATGTAGAAGAAAGTGAAGAAAGCCCTAAGCTAATAACATAACAGCAGTGCTCATTTGATGTCGTCCTGATACAGCATGGCAAAAACACACCCCAAATATCTATGATTAATATAGTGAATTGAAGATAGTTCACCTCCCAATGACTTCACAAGTGTCTGTTTCAGCTAGCTCTGGTAAATAAAATGACCAAATCATAGTTCAGTTTTCTGATGTAGCTGAAAAATTAATATGAAAAAAAATCAAAATAAATCAGTGCTTTAAAATATATAATGTGTACCTTCTAAAAATGAAACCTATATCTATCTCTGAGTTCTGAATAATATGTATTAAGGTTATATCAAACAACAAAGAATGCTTTTTTTTTTGTAGAAAACAGTGATTAAATCAATGCTTCCTGACCAGTGATTTAAATCTTGATTGAAATCAATTTAATTTAAGTCAAATCCACCCTGGTATCAGACTTAACTGATTTAGGTTACATCGGTTTATTGAACTTCTGTCCCAGATCTCCTCCAGATTCATAGTTTCTAGGGTTGGAAGGGACCTGAGCAGATCATCGAGTCCGATCCCCTGCCATGACAGGAAAGAGTACTGGGGTTAAACGACCCCAGCAAGGTGTTCATCTAACCTCCTCTTAAAAACCCCCAGGGTAGGAGCCTGCACCGCCTCTCTTGAAAGTTGGTTCCAG